CAGACCCTGGCATTGAAGTTCAAACAAAGGTTGTCTTGAAAACAGGCCCAAAATGGCCTGTGCTAAAACCCTGGTCTGGTGCCTAAGTTTCAGGGGCAGGTCGACTTTATGAGGGCCTGAAAAGGGCCCTCGTTTTCAGGCTTTGAGGCTGAAACGACACAGGGCCTGTAGGCCCTCGTTTTCAAGCTTTTAGGCTGAAACGACACAGGGCCTGTAGGCCCTTGTTTTCAGGCTTTTAGGCTGAAACGACACAGGGCCTGCAGGCCCTTGTTTTCAGGCTTTTAGGCTGAAACGACACAGGGCCTGTAGGCCCTCGATTTCTGTCTGGTCGGGCCCTGCAGGCCCGTGTGGCTGCGCAGTATGCCACACCCCCCCCTCCTTGAAAGACCGAGCTTACCTGCGTGGGCGAAGCTGTCTGTTGGAGGGAGGGACCAAAGTCCGGGTGGGAGGGGCATGCTGTGAAGCTTCCTTAGCTAGTCTTCGTCGCTTGTAGTCGGCGTAGATTAGCGGTGCAGATGCTAACTTCATGTCCAAAATGTCGAAGGACACGGCCTCGCTTGCATGTGGGGCAAAGTACACGGGGACGTAATCAATGCACCGGTCGATGGACTTGTGCGTGTGACCGTCGGCCAATGTGACTTGAGTGGGCTGCGAATTCCTCCGAACGTGTGGCCCAAGGCCAACGCGTACCATGAAGTGTTGGTTCATATAGTTGCAAGTAGCTCCGCAATCAATCAAAGCCCTGCAGGTCGCCTCTCCGATGTGAATGCGTATGTACAACAATGGCGCGTCGATGTCGTCGTACCGTCGTGTCTTGAACTCGCGGTCGATCTCCACAGCGTTGTCGTGAAGGTCGACAACCTCTACTCCGACGTCCATCAACGGAGCTGGTACTGCAGTGTGCAAGTAATCCCGCAATTGTGCGATGAGCACGTTGCAATGCGGTTTCGGCAATCGACTGACGGGGGAAGGGGCATCCATTGGAAGTCCGTGAACGTCAACGGGTCGGGTTCTTGAAGTCTTGACTATGACGTCGAATCCCTGACGATAGTTGGCGGCCGAGCTCCCGAATTGGTTGCCGATGGTGGTGAAACCATGCATGCGGTGGATTGTTGCACATGGAGTGGCTGGTCCAACGGTGGGACCAAGTGGACAGCGTAATCCTCGTAAGTGAACCGAGGACTCGCGGCATCCGCATTCTCCCCAGATGTGTAGGAGGCCGCTAGCAAGGCGGCCAAATCTGGCGGAGTGAGAGGTGGAGTCGCCTCACCTCCCGTGCAACTCAGTTTCCCGAGTTGATGCGAGGCCGAACATCCTCCTTGACTTTATCCTGGCAGTGGGAGGTCTTGTGCTTGGTGCTGTTGCACCAATAACAGCAGCCGTATCGGCTGCGGTACTTGTATTCGGCCTCGGTCAAGTTGAACTTGACCAATGGTACTGGTTGTCCGTTTCCGGCCGGCGATGCGGTTTTCCCTTCCCTTTTCCTCGGGAGTTGTTGTTGCTCCGCGGCTGGACAGCGGCCACCTGATCTCCCTCACGTGATGCTTGGGTGGCTGCCGGGTCTTCCACAATGGTGTCCGGTTGGACTGCAGCGACATGCTGCGGACGCGGACCAAATTTTCCCTTCTCCACATGGGCTGGCTGCCACGCTGTCTTCTCGTGTGCAGCAGCCAACCGCCCGGTTGGTCTTGATGATCTCTCGGATGGTTTGAAATGCCAGAACTTGAGCTTTTCGACGCTGGCGGCTTCGTGCCGCTGTAGCAGATCCTGGGCCTCCTTGCGGCGTGCCTGGGTATCTGTGTCTGCTTCGGCCTGAAGCCGCTGCTTTTCAGCTGCTGCCTCTGCTTCAGCCTGTAGGCGGGCTGCCTCGGCTGCCGCCTGGCGCTGTACCTCAGCCTCCATTAGTGCGAGCTGAGCTAGAAACGCTGATGGTACTCGTCAATGGACTTGCCGGCCAGTTGGCCTGTCATGCCCAATGATGAACCCATCATGGCGGCAGGCCACTGCTGACGTGGCACTGTTGCTGATGTGGCACTGCTGACGCGGCACTGTTGCTGACGTGGCACTGTTGCTGACGTGGCATTGTTGCTGATGGGGCACTGTCCAAACCGGGAATGCAGGCAAAGGGTTGGGTGGGAGGGAAAACGCAGGAAGGTAACCAACCAAACTGTACTTTCCCGGTCCTAATCAACAGAATAAAGTAAAAATAAAAAATAAAAAAAAAGGATCACCGGATTCACCCCCTTTTTTTTTTTTTTTTTTGGTATATCTGTTGAT